TTTTTAATTAGTAATTTTTAATTTAATTTTTGTGCTTTAGTGCTTAATAAGTGGTTATAATCAAGTACTGTCATTGGTGGTTGAAGTCTAGCAGGGTTTCTAATAAGTCTTTTATGTAAAACTAAAAGGAATAGTCTGTTTTTATTGTGGTGCGCTTGACCTGTCTTTGTTAGGGCTGTGTCTAATGATGTACTATCAATATTCCAATGTGAACTAATAACTCTTCCACTAGTACTAATGATGTACTATCAATATTCCAATCCGATACAAGCACTGATGTGTCTTCAAGATTTGGTTGAAGAAAGATCTGAAGGGTATTAAATTAAGGCTATATTTCTCTTATTTTCTTATTTTTGAATTTGTATTCTAAACTTTTATTATGTTTGCAATTCAAGTTCTAACAATAATGGAAATTTCTTCAATCTATTTGAGGAGTTGGAGGAGAATGATAATGAGGAGGATGAGTATGAGGTAAATTTTAAACAATAATGTTTTTTTTATATAAACTATTATATAAAGAAAATTTTCTAAAATTCTGTTAATTTGGGGTATTTGTTTTTATTTCAAGAAGTTATTTCTTCAACTTGAAATTATTAATCAAGCCTAGCTAAAGTTGCTGCTGTAGAGTTTGCTTTGCTGGATTGGATGGATATGTACGCATGTGCCACTTTTTAGACTCTTTTATGTGCTTTTTTTTAATGAACTTATTGCTGGACATGTTGGCAACAATTTATGCATTTTTTTTTTCTATCAACTTTGCTGAATCTAGACATATATGACAGTTGCAATTTATGCTTTTATTTTTTATAAACCTTTTGTTGGATTTACTGGATTTATATGGCAATTTATGCATTTTTTCTTTATGAAATATGAAGTTGTTGTTGGCTTGCTTGCTGGTTCTATTCTATGTGGTGTTTATGCTAATAGTGGTTTAGTAGCTATTAGCTGATGGTGTCTAATTAGGTGAACAGTGCTAAAGAAGTTGGCGGTGGTGCAGGGTTAGGAACTTGATAAATTGTTTGTTGGCGGATTTCAGTTGCCACTTGCCAATGTTAAATGTCATTTTCTTGATCCAACCCAAACCCAAATACAATGTTAAATGTTAAATGTTAAAGTAAAATAGCAGTGAAAATTTTGATTAATAAGTAGTGAAAATTTTGATTAATAAGCAGTAAAATAGGTGGTAATTTTATTGGTGGGGACTCCAAATACCCGCGGGGACCTATTATTTCCTGCGGAGATGGGGACGGAGCCAATTTTTGACCCTCCGTCAAAAATCCCTGTGGGGATCCCCGTACCCGCCATTGGCAGGGATGGGGATGGGGATGGGGAGGGGGTCCTCGCCCCTGTGGGGACCCGTTGCCATCCTTACCTGCAGAGAAGAGGGCTGAGGTGGCACAGGCCTCCAACACTTTGTAAAAAATTTAGTTTGGTTCTTTACATTTTATTTTTATCATTTTTATCCTTTCTTATTTAATACCATTTTAATCATTTTTTGGTGTTTATGTGGTTGAACATTACTTGTGATGATAAAGAGAAAGATGGAGAAAATAAAGATAATATAAAATTTCAGAAAAAGTAAAAATTAATTAAATAAAAATTATTTATATTATATTTTTTATAAAGTATTTATTTATTAATATCTTCACTTTTTTTAGTTATAATAAATATTATTCTACTTAATATATGTTTGTTTTTATCTTTTAAATAATGGTTTCTATATTACATTATCATATATTATTTTTTGATAAAATATTATCAACTATTATTAATTTATCATTACATATTAAAAAATATTATTTATATAATTCTTTTTAAATTAACATATAAAGTAATCAT